ATACTCAACAAAGCTTAGCTCTTTTATTAAAGCAACAAAGCCCCAATATGAATATGTGTGTTCTTAAATGTAAGAAAATACAACTTTCATTAAATCTTGTAAAATCTAACTCCTAATTTTTTTCCTTTTGGTGTTTCATCTTCTTCTGGGTTACTTTATGCAAATAATCACCTCTCTCAGTCAATTTATTCCAACAGCATTAGCATTTTCTGTGTCGCCCGAGGAGTTTGGTTGTGGTCCTGCTGTTGCTTTTCCTCCTGTCAGACTCTCACCGTCTCGTCGTCTCCCCGTCCTGCAGGCCTCAGCTGCATGCCCAGCTCGGCGCTGATGGAGCTGCTGCACCGGGTGGAGGCCGCCATCCGGGAGTACTCAGAGGAGCTGGTCAACCAGCTGGCCCGGCGGGACGAGCTGGAGTTCGAGAAGGAGGTGAAGAACACGTTCATCACGGCTCTGATGGAGGTGCAGAACAGGCAGAAGGAGCAGCGGGACAGCAGCAAGCGCAAACGGCGGGACAAGGCGCTCAGCCTGCAGGGGGGCGGGACGGCGCCCACCAACGGGGGCAACACCGCCCCGTCTGGCCAGAAGACCGGCACCATGCCGGTCAAGGTGAATACACAGGATCATTTCCACCACTCTGTTAGGATCTATTAGGATCTGTTCCAGGCCCATTAAAACAAAACAGACGGGTCCGTACTTGTTCTTGTTCATTTATGTCAGTTTTAGATTCATTTGATATAAACTGATATTTTCAAGCAAAGGAGGATTTTCAGGTCACTGTGAATGCAAACGAATGAGATGTGGACGTAGAGGGACAGTATGCAACTTTTGTGAAAGAAAATATGTTTTTTACATATTTGCTAAAGCTCTCACCATGTCATGACAGTATGAGACAAGACAGTCTGTGGACACATCCACCTTCTTCCTGAGCTGCTGTGGCAGCCTGAGGAAATGCACCGCCCCGACCAAAACCAGCCAATCAGAGCCAGGGGGACGGTCTTAGCACCGTCAATCAGACTCATGTACTTGCTGCTAAGTGGCGAATGGCGGACAAACAACTTACAGTTTTGTCGTAGTCGTCTGTTGCTATGCTAACTAACCTGAACGTTCATGTCCAGGGTTGGGAGAGGGATGAGCAGTGCCACATGGAAGGTGATTGACAGCACTAAGACCCTCCTACTGGCTCTGATTGGTTCTTTCTGGAAAGCTCTGGGTCACTGGATGAAGTCAAAAAAGCTGGAGTATTTCACAGATTACCTATATATATATATATATATATATATATATATATATATATATATATATATATATATATATATATATATATATATATATATATATATTATAAAAGTTTTTAAACTTTTAAAATTATAAGTTATTAAAAGTGTTGTTGTTTTCAAAAGGTTATGTCTTTAAGGTAATTTATAGAATAGTCTGGTTGCACTTCCTCTTTCCTTCTCTGGCTCTTCTGCTAATGGATGTCAAATCCATTACACACTAAATGATGTTACAGGAACATCTCTGTCGAGGAACAGCTCAGCTCCTGCTCAATAACTCGGGGCCTAATGGATTCTCCCTGCACAAACGCCGCTTTTATCTGCGAGAGCAGACGCCTGAATCTGTGCTAACGTCGAGCAAACACACGAAAACCGGTTTCGAGGCACAAAGAGGACCGACAGTGAACATACAGATGTCAGCACAGTTTTGCAGAGAGAACATTCTTTTTGCCAGGCCCTCATTGTGTGTGGTCGATCCACAGCGCTTCAGCATGGAGGGCCTGTCCAACATCCTGCAGACGGGCATCAGGCAGACGTTTGGAAGCACAGGAAATGAGAAGCAGGTAATGTGCTGACTCATCATGTCGGCTCTCTTACCTAATGATAATCGAACCTTCGATACTGTTTAGCTGAATAGAAAATTTAGCTGAATGTTTAGCCAGCACCGGTTGTCCACATTATTATTATTATTATTATTATTTGCTAAAGATGTAATAGAAGTTAACCGCCTGAGGTGTAAAAGCGTTGGCACTAAGATGAGCTCTGCTACTGGCTTACAGCATCAACCTTTAGTCAGAGGCTTCTTTAGAGTTTTTGCAAGACTGACTGCTACTGGAGACCCTCCCTGTCCACATCCTCCACCAACACTCGCTCTGAATCCTCCTCGGTTTTTCACGAGCTTTGAAAGAGTAAATCAGTTCTGTTCCAAAGCGAAACGGTTGCTCTTGTCCCGCCGGAGCGGATCCAAACACACTAATAAAACGCATAACGCTCTGAACGCTTCCTCCGTTTCAGTATCTGAACACCGTGATTCCATACGAGAAGAAAACCAGCCCTCCGTCTGTCGACGACCTGCAGATGCTCACGAAAAGTAAGCAGTTATTAAAATGTGCTGCTTGCGAGACACAACCACGGGGTGCGACCCGTGAAATCACCGTGAACCTTTTCTCCACACAGTCCTCTACGCCATGAAGGAAGACAGCGAGAAGGTGCCGACGCTGCTGACTGACTACATATTGAAAGGTAAACGCATCCAATCCCTTCCAGACGTCAGTGAGCTGCTTAGTCTGACAAGAATGCAGCTTCTTAAGAAGAGGGACAAAACAGGTCCTGTGGATAAAGCACAGAATTTCAGTAAAAGATACACCAAATATTTTTTTTTTTTTTTTCAAATAGCTGACTAAACTAAGCATGCGAGCACAATGTCATGTCATGTTTGTATTTTAAACACTAGCAGGCGGATGGCGTCTTTAAAATCCCGTCTCCTGGAGCAAAACTCAATACGTTATAATAGTTTAAAACAACTAAAGGAACACTGAGGCAAAATGTTGTGACAATTAAGTTTAAGTATTCAAATGAATAATTTTAAGAGTGTCAATAAATTGAATTAAAAATCTTTTTTCTTTTTTTTTTACATATTTTCCAACTCAACTTTCAGTTGAGTTGGAAAATGTTTTTGGGTGTTTTTTGTCAACACCGTGAGACAAAAAGAATGTAAAAAATATCAGGCATTATTGGGGGGGCATCAGAACTTCTGAGGACCCCATGGCTAAGAAGGTCAGGTCCATTAAAAATTTTTTAAATGATGCACCTGGGAGCCTGCACCTTGGCATCTTTGCATTTCCAAAGCATTATTTGTCGTATTTGTATACATCAGCTTCAATAATAATAATAATAATAAAAATGGGTTTAAATTGGACAAATTTAAACCCATTTTGTCCCACTTCTCAAGAATCACTGAGCGGTTTGATCCAATTTGTCTTTCTTTTCAGTTCTCTGTCCCACCTAAAGAACCGTCATACCAGGAGTGAAGTGTGACAGAGAAACCGAACCCGCCCTCTGGACCCCCAGGACTTTCCTGACCTTCCTTACCTCTGGCCCAGTCTGCATGAGCTCCCCTCGTTTTCCATTACCAACCTCGGATCGGCACCATCCACATTATCTCACCCATCTAAACTACGACTACTGCCTCCAGCTGAGCTCACCTCGTCCTTTCCTGCACACCCATCTCAGGCCAGACACCAAAATGGCCGCTGCCTGAAAAAGCGACCGGGACGGCCCTGTCCCACTTTTGCAGGATTTCACTAACGGAGCATGATAAAGCTGGTTAACGATCACGAGACATCACTTCGGTCCAGGGATCCAGTTTCAGATATCACTTCTCTCTTGTCTTGTCATCTCTTTGTTTCTTTGCCATGTTTTTGATCTGACAGACACGGTTTTGTTGAGCCCCGACTGCATTCATTCACAAAGCCGTTCATCACGGAATGACCGCTCTCTTCAGCACATATATACAGTCATCCATGTAAAGTGGATTGTATGAGGAAACATGATTCACATGAATACAAAAGCCATGCACCTTTTTCTGCCGACTCAGTACTGTAGTTCCTTTAGAGTGAGAAGAAACATACTACTATTACGGGTGCAGTGCGTTACAAAGCTTCTTTCACAATGAACATCCAGTGCTCTTCAAACCTCTTTTTTTTTTGTATTATTTATTTGAAATATTAATATATATTTATTAATTTGTAATTTTTTTTACATTTGTTTACTGTAACACCTAGAGGTGTAAATCTGTTTTCTGTTTTAAGCTCAGTGACTGGAAAAAAAAAAATCATTTTAATAACGGCATATGTATTTGCATATTAGCATATTTTCTGTTCTTTTGCCCCACGTAGATGAATGTTACATCGCTTAATTGCTCATTCGAATAAACTTCTACCCTGAATGTCATCGCTTCCTTTTATGCATCCACTGCATCAGTGCTCAAAAATCCACCTGCTCACATCTTAAGACGCGTGTCTGTAACAGTGCGTAAAAGAACATGCTCAAACCGTCTGTGAAAGTGTTTTTATTGCTTTTGCAGTCATGACCAACAAAAGCTGACAAAAAAGGAAGAAGAAAAAAAAACTTTTTAATGTCAAACTGAAAAGTGACGTCTGACAAAGCAATGACTATCAAATACATGCATTTAACGTGGAATAAATTTAACATGAATTAAATGTTCAACTCCCTCTGTGTTTAGTAGATGCCGTCGCAGAGCAGAGTCTGTTTGGGTCTGTATGAGTCAGGCTGCACGTCTGGCCGCTGCAGATCGACCGCAAACTTTATACCCCCACGTTACTCCGCTAAAAAAAATAAAAGGAATTTAAAAAAAAATCTGATTTTATATGGAAATTGATGAATTTCTCACACTCTCTTCTTTACTTCAGCAACAGAGCTGCTTTGCTGCCACCTTGTGGTTTGAGACCGGAAATGATTCGCACATGCATGAAAGTTCAGAAGAGAGAAAGCAAAGAGTGTCAAGTGGGTTTTTTTGGGAGTTTTTTTACCAGCTGATTTTTTTCCAGAAATGTTTGTGACTGCTGTTTGTGCAAACTGGTCTCGGATCTTCACACTTTCCCAATCAATATCCTAAAATGAATAAATGCTGCAGCTTTTCAGCAACAGCTGTAGCATTAAGCGGGTGAAGCATTGTGACATTTAAAGAAAAAGACAAACACAAGACTTTGTTTATGTTTATTTGAAAATATCAGGCTTTTTTTTTTTCATGAACATAAATATGGAGTATACAGGTGGACAATGCACATTATAAATAAGATGCTTCACCGCCTGTTTGTCCACAAAGCCTCTGCAATGCTTCCTGCTGTGATGGAGAGCACTTATTTAATTCATAAAGGTACATGGTAAAAAGAAACGCTCTTCATGTGCTCTAATGTTCGCTGTAGAAAAATAAAGGCTCGACTTCAACAATACATTATAATCGTCAATGTACACATTTCAACGACTCAGTCACGCTCTAAAACACGGAGTCTGACAACCGCAAGAAATGACACATTTTCCAGTTTGCTTAAGTGTCGTCGACATTCAACGGAAAGGCTCCACGGCTAAGAAACGTTTCAGATCACTGGTTTCAGGACGGGTGGTTCTGGAATGTCCTCACGTTCCGTGTTGAAAGCGAGACGGATAGTAAATGTCTCCGTGTGTCCAAAGTGCAGCAGGAGAAAGGAGAAACTGTGACAAACTTTTATTTTTTTAAAAAGCGGACAAGAAATCCAAATACATGTATATGAAAAATAAAACATCTTCAATAAGGAAACTGGACACATTCCTAAAGAAGAGAATCTATAAATTCTTGTAAATGGAGAAGCGTCTCTGTGTAAACCAACAAATACTCTTCACTGGATTCCTCCCACCTTTTCTGACACAACTTTTAGTTTGTAGCTCTTCCTATGAAATATTTCAGAATGTGCAAATTGATCAGAAACAGTGAGTTATGACTTTTAATGGTTATAAACTAATAATAATAATTAAAAAAATACGTAAAAATGCTAATTGTGATCACTTGCATAAGGATTTGTTTAATATGGCTCCATCATTTTCTTACGGTGGCTGTTACAATTTGAAATGAATAAAATTCTTGCGTTACTCAACAGTTGTTTTTCACCGAGGCTTTTATGCTTGCCTCTATAATTTCAGAAATTGGCAACTCTTCATTAGATTATCATAAACATTAATGTCATGTAGCTCCTGTGCTTGAGAGAGTAAAGCTGGTGTCTGTAGGCGTCTTGAGAATATCTAACGGATTTTCAGCATTCGGTGTTTTTGTCAGTGATTTATTTTATGAAAGTGACCTGAAGTTTAACCGCTGCTATAAAAAGCTGCAACATATCAGGAACGAAGACGGCTTTATCTACGGTTCGGCATCCAGTGTTTCAGATTAATATTCCATCTAAGTTTGATATCATCATTCATACAGATTAGACCTGAAAAAAAAAAAAGAAAAACAAACAAACAAAAATGTCTGAAACACATTTAAAAACTAATAAATATATTTATATATTTCTTTCGTCTTACTGGAAACCTGACATGTTATAATGCAAGGATGAAAATACGCAGAGCGAATCAGAGTCATAAGTGGTTTTTTCAGGACTAGAGAACGTTTCAAACAGAACTCCATCCACCCGAACCAAGCCCTCGCTTCAGGACCTCCAAGATCCTTTCTAACATGAAATGGATCGCAGCAAATCTAAACGACCCGGTTTGCACAGAGATGCAGCATCCCGTCTGTCTCACAACACCTCAGGCTGCTTCCTCAGAATATGGGAAGCTTCCGCGCCTTCACCATCAAGTCATCACTGCGGAGGAGGAGAAAACCGATACGGTGTCTTCATCAGCTATTAGCGGGTTGCTGTGCGGATGCGTCCCCCGGCTCAATGGCTGACGTTTTGTGCTCCGCAGGCATAACTTAGTGTGAGTAGACTGAGCGAATCATGCACTCCAAACACAGAGCGCGTGCTTTTCCTTCTCGTCGCTTATCTGATCAAGTGAGACTTTCCAGCCTTGGAAAACTGAGATTCAAGCCTCGTGGTTTTCCCCTCCTCATCCGTCTCCCTTCTCCGCGCCAAAGACGATGCTGAAGCGTCACGACGAAGACATCTGAAGAACTGGCCGAGGTTTGAGTGTTTTGCTGGGAGCCTTGCTTCACACGTGCTGCAAAGTGTTTGCAGAGATCAAACACATTCTGGCCTTTTCTTTAAAGGATTCTTAAGAAACAATGACTCATCCTTTTGGTAGTTGTTGTATGAGAGGGTGGCTGAGAGATTTACGTTCCGACCGTTTCCTGCTGAAAATTGGGAATAATAAACCCTTTAAAAACAACAACAACAACAAAAAACAATCCGGTTGCCGGGTGAACAGCTGGAGAACAACATGGCAATAAAAAAGTAGAAAAAGGAATTTTACCTATACTTCATTTGTGACAACAGAGTATAAAGAGTGAATACAAAGCAAGTAAAAAGCATGTCTTGAATGGTCGTCCTGGCAGCCTGTAACAGTGAATGACTTCCTCCTCTCGTCCTGTTTGCTGACAAAAATACAAACATGAAGCGTTTGAGCCTCCGTCAGTCTCACTGCGTGCCACGCCACTTCCGTTAGACCAGAGAACCTGCTTGGTTTTGCGCAGGCACCATGATGGGCACCCCTCCCATGCGGTGGATGTTGGAGGCTGTGATGGTGGAGGTGGGCAGCGGCGGCGGGGACGGGGCGGGCTGGAACTGCCCATGCAGCTGGGTCAAGGTCTGGGGCAGCTGCTGGGCCTGGGGCAGGTGGCCATAGCGCTCCTGGACCGCCTGCGAACTGCCGTTGGCGGCCTGGGTGGAGGCGGGCTGTCCGTGGGGCAGCGTGCTGCTGTTGTTGTAGCTGTAATGAGTGGGAGAGGAGGCCCCCTGGTGGCGGGGCGGTCTGTAGCCGGTGGCGCTGCCTGTGGCTGTGATGATGGAGGCGGTGTCCGAGGCAGGATGCCGGGGATACTGCTGCAGGTGGTGGTGGTTGTCTTTGTGGCGCGGGCTGGAGGCGATGGAGGACAGCGTGCCGTTCTTGGAGATGACGTCAGAGCCCATCCCGCTCTTCGCCCAGGAGACGCGCTTCGGAGCCTGAGCGTCTTCCCTGCAGGTCAGGGGTTAAAGAAACCATCCACTTTTTTCACTGCTGACACCCATTCAAATACGGCAGATTAAAAAGTGACCTGTTGAACTGAAATACATTTCACTGCTTTCTATAGCAAAAACTAACAAAAAGAACCTGATCGTTACAAGGTTTCCACACAGTGTTGTACACAGTTTTGATTTCATCCTGTTCGTCGAATTAGAATTGAAGCCAATATGGAAAAGACTTGAGCAATTAAGTATATCTGATAATTCAGTAGCTTGTACTGTAATAACTTGAAGAGGTTTTATCAATATATATCTCATAACTGAGACTTTTACGAGTCAATTGTACTTCCTTGAGGTTTGTGGCCATTTATCAGACTGTGAGGATTATTTTTTCTTGTATTTTTATGTGGAGTCTGTCGTACACGGATGATGTATGTGATACGATTGCTTTGCCCCGTCGACATTGAAATGTTGGTAACAAAGCTTTTCTGCCATCAGTTTTGATTCGGATAAATGTGACCAGACGAACTCACTTGATTTCATTGGCCATGTCGTCCTCGTTGTCTCTTCTTCTCTTGAAAACAAACAGAAACCCGACGCAGACACAGAGCAGGAAGACGAAACCGAGGACCGATCCAACTGTTGCGCCAACAATCATTCCGACCTTATTGGCTGAAATTGTGACACACACACACAAGAACGAAAACAGAGTTTGCCTCATTGATTCAGAAGTTCAAAGTGCAGCCGGCGAAACGTCTGGCGTTACGTACTGTTGATGATGTCCAGGGTGACGGAGCAGGTCTCACGTCCCGCTGAGTTGCTGGCCGTGCACACGTACGACCCGGACATGTTGCTGCTCAGGTTGCTCAACTTCAGATCCCCGCTGTTCTCGTCTGAAGCAGCAGGGTGACCACAGACACACGTCCAACCATTAGAAACGACTTTCTGCGCATTTAGGAGGAGTGAGCTCTGTGCAAACGTTTATGTGGCGGGTCGTCGTGGAGACACATTCCTACAAACCACTTCCTTCATTTGGCTCGGTACAAGTTATTTGTTTCATCAATAAACAGGAAAAAAAACAACAACCCCAGCCTGTCCAATTCTGCCATTTCCATCAACTTTTTGAAATGCAATACTTCAAAAAGCACGTAGAAAAAAATGACGGAAACACAGATGATGTCTGACTTTCAGGAAGGATAACAGGAAGGTCGAATGGAGCGGCTCCAGCAGATTTACTCTTATCATGTTTTGCTCTGTTTTATCCTTTAAAGTTTCAAATTTTGAAATATCTCCGACATATAATCTTCACACATGGAGTCTGCCGGCTATAACTAACTGATAAAATAAGACGCTAAAGACAGTAAAACTCTGACTCCTTGTCTCTCCTCCTTATATACGTATCAGTACCAAGCCGTCAGGTAGACCTGCAAGGTATTCACAGAAGTTGTCCCAAAAAATAGTCACGATACTACAGTTATTTGTAAAACGTCAAAAAATTACGTCAAAAAAGCTTGTTCAGAGTTTTCTGCCTGTCACACTGTATTAGGTAAAGGATAAGCTAATCATAAATTAGTTGGTCTATTCAGGGGACTCTCTGCTTCCTCATCTGAATACATTAGCCCTAAACTGACTAACAATGGTCAACGGTAATTTTATTGCCACCACTGGGGACTAAAAGATGCAAATGAGTGAATGTTCTGGTCATTCATCATGGTTAATTAGAACCACTGCAGCTGATGACAAGTGGAAAGTCAAAAACACTCAGTGGTTTAGTTTAATGGAAGTCCTTTGAGCACACACATACAGCAAGGGTTCTGATGGATCTGCTTTCAGTTAAATACAAGATAAATGTTACATTAAGGGTGAAAAAAGTAACAAATGTACTATATTTTTCTCGCATTGTGCAAATGTTTGCGTGACAAAAACGTTCATTTTGACCTCATCGCCTCTACGGAGTTTGATGAAATCAAAACTGCAGTTTCACTCACTGAGCATTGGTGCAAAAAAGACCTCAGAGGTGGGACTGGTTCTCCTCCACTTGTACAGCGGGACCGGCTTCCCGGCACCAGACGTGCACGTCAGAGTCACGTTTCCTTTCAGCACTGGCTTCCCGGACATAGAGCACTTGGGAACAGCGGGAGGGACTGAGGAGAAGCACAGAGGTTGTCAGAGGTTTTGGGTGTGCTGCCATTTCCAATGGCACAAATGTTGAAATTCAGACATTTAGTAGTTTTTCTCACCCGTCACTTCAAGAAAGACCTGAGCGGGACTGACAGGAAGAGAAGGAATGATGATCTGACACACATAACGGCCAGAGTCAGACTCCCTGGTGTTGTTGATGTACAGAGAAACGTCCCTCGAAGGCATCGTCTTCAAGAACCCGACGCGGCCTTTGAACTGGGTGCTGCCCACGTTGATGGTGCCTTTGGTGTAGCTGATGACCTGTAACCCAGGAAAGCACAACAACTTCTGATTCATTTTAGCACAACAGCTGCACGTACGGCTAAAAACAGGTCTGAGTACATCCGTCCAAGACGGAGAGAGCAGTTTGACTAACATGCTTACTCATTTGGGGTCAGAGGTCTGAGGGATGCTATAATCCCGACATCTGTGGCTCGGAAAATTGGAAATGTTTGTTATTTTTCAAAATCGTGTTACAGTTACAAAAACTCAATTTGGACTGAAAAGCCTCCATTCATCACCAGGTCATTTCTAACATCAATAGCAGGATGAGCTTTTGTCTCTTAGGTGAGGTTGGATTTTTACACACACACACACACACACACGCACGCACGCACCCACACACACACACACACACACACACACACACACACACACACACACACACACACACCACACACACACACACACACACACACACACACACACCCACACACACAACACAAAGAAACAAACAAAAAAAACAATATGTTTTCCAAACTTGTTCAAAGATTAGCTTTCGATTACTGGTACAACAGTAGACCAGATTGTAGGCGGTTTCTGGGTTGGGTGTGAGCACCAAACACTCACAGCCCCAAGACAACAGACAGCTGTAGAAGAGCTGCGATGTTCCATTAACAAAGATGGAGTCCTGATGTTTCCTCCCACAAGAACATTGGAGCAGATCAAACAAACCAGTGAGCAATCTTTCCTGCCAGGACATCTCAAATGACTGAACAGACTTCAAAAACCCACAGGACCCCAACAAACTGATGCCAAGGTTTCAGTATCAGACGCCACACGCTCCCTCAGAGGCACTTAGTTGTTTGCTCAACTAACTAAAGCTGTTCCTCTGGTTATTGCCTGTATCCAGATTTACCAATTTATCCACATCTCTGTAACAAACAATCTGTAAGCTGGAACAAGTTTGCTATGCCCGACTTTGGGGGAGCAGGTGCCTGTCTCCAGAGAACGTTTCGGGCGAGAGTCTGGGTCACCCTGGACAGGCCACCTGTCCAGGGTGACAGGTGACCATGTGAAGTCTGAATCAAATCAGCCAAAAGAATTAAGTAAGAACTCCATATCTGTGTCATAGTACTTCTACAGAACACGTGGACCACCTCTGGCCCATACAGATAGTGGTGCACTAGGCTTTGTGTACAAAGGTTGTTTGGCTTTACATATGACTGGTTGTGTATCTGATGCACCTGGTCTAACCAAAGCTGTCTCTGCGAATAAAATGACACAATTTTCATCAATTGACGTTGGCACTTCGGATGACGTGTTGGGGCCTTCACACAAAGCAAGAATTAGCCAACGTCATGTTAGTCTACTTCATATTTACTAGGTAACAGTATCTTCTAAGGGAGGAAAGTGTCTGTTATATTTCTGTACTAAAAGTCCTGCATGCCTGGTTGTGCAGCTGACTTATAGCTGCATTTTATTACAGCCCTCTTGAAAGTGTCTCAGCTCAGGTGAAGCTTTAGAGCTGTCACACTTCAGTCGTATAATCTGTGTTTTTGGCTCCAAATAAGAGCAGAGCAGGACACTGGATGACTGTTCAAAAACACAGAAACCTCACTTTGAATAAATCTGCCCAGATCCCCGCTCCTCCATCTGCACAGCTCATTAATCCACGCACAGCAGACCCAAAAACCCGCACACTGTTCTGAACTGGACCGGGATGAAGCCGTTTACACACTGAAAGCTTTGTGGAGGACAGGCTCTCCCAGGTTCGGAGCCACGGGAACAGAAACACATTTTCCAGTTTTACAGCTGGGCAGAAATGAACCTGAATATTTACAGACATTACCAAACTGCCTCCTCACCTGCTGGGGGTTGTCCGTCATCAAGTTCCAGACGATGGTGCTGGCGGCCAGGTCAGCATCTGGGTTTCCGACGTACGAGGCGCTTAGCTGCACCAGTTTACCTTTGACCACTTCCATGCTGGTTTGAGGCAATTCGATTTCGGCCCATATGCCTAGATGGAGGAAACAAAGATTTTCCTCATTAGGTCTTATGACATTTATGTCATAAACAGTGAAAACATATGTTAATTTGACCATTTCTAGATCTAATGATACATCAGTTAAAGTTCAAACTAATCTTAAATAGTTAAACTGAACTTTAATTATCGTTAAAGTCCAGCAGTAAGGAAGAGCTGAGTTTTTCCACACGTAGATGTTAGGAGTGTTTTGTTTCAGCTGCAGATGCATCTATTGCCACAAATGATCACTAAATAAATAACGTTGCATTTTAGGCAATCCTTTTTTATTATTTAGGAAAGGAATTTATAAATGAATTTGCATATTTTAATGTACTTCTGAATAATCAATAGATTAATTGATTACTAAAATACTTATCAGTTGCAGCCCTAGAATCTAGTATTAGAATGAAAAAAAGGAAAAAGGCTCAAATCCTGCAACTCATCAGTAACTTAACTGTCTGCTGAATGTGTTCCTGCTTAATAGCTAATAAAATCAATAATTAGCTATTGGTTCCCCCCCATAAAGCTAATCTAAATCAATACCAACACTGTTTAACCAGGTGAAACTGTAGGTGAGACAAATAAAGAACAATGAAGAAAAGGTCGCAGATGGGCTGCAATGTAGTGCACATCTAAAGCCAGACAGGGGCAGCAGAGTGCCAAGACTCAAAAACATTAAGGCTCATGTCTGCACAGAAGCTCTCTCCATGTCCATAACTTTATGAACCACAGATTGAGAATGAGAATAAGTGGCTGTGCTGCAGACGGAGACTGCTGCTGACTCTGGTGTCTGTTTACTGTAATTAAAAGATTTCCCTGCATCAGTTATGAGAAATTTTGGAGTTCAAACTGTGTTATTTGGCCTCTTTGACTTCACTGCCTCTTCCTGCAACCATGACTGAGACAAGACACAAGAAGCAAACAGGAGGAGTATTTAAATATACTGGAGTACTTTATTATTGTAATTTTTTTTCAGCATTCTCCCCTCCAGGGGTGAAAGTCTCTGCCCTCCTGAACCTCAGAAACACAACAGCTGGACACACATGAAAACTAACTCAGGAGGGATCCCAGTGTATGTGACTGACATGCAAATTTATAATGCTAAAACGGCCCAAAACATCAGCTGTCATTAACAAAACTTTCTCTATGTGGAAGAAGTGATGAAATCAGATGTAATGACAACGTTCAGTTCAAAAGTGTTTCCCTGCGAGAGCCTGAGCTGAAGCTTTTCACTACGTCTCCACCGACTAGACACTACAAAGAACAAGAGTGGTCCACTAATGTCGCAGCTTATGATTTGTGGGTGTTGTAGATTCCAGTATTAGCACGGTTGCCTCATGCAGGCTGCCTTCTGGAGGTCACAGACTTCCATTATTATCTAGAGGGATGTTGAAAATGAGTCCCAGAAGATGTCAAACTGTTGTGTCTTCAACCAAATGAAACTGGGTCAACGTTTGAGTGGAAATCATGCAGTAGATGAAGCGATCTGTTAGGGCCGTGCTAATAAGATGAAACGTTGGTCTCAGTCATCCTGGATTTCTGGTGCAAGAAATTAAAGAGATCTGACAGAAAATCCAAATATACCAAACATGGTGCGTAGAGAAATGTCGAAAACTACAATAATACAGAAGCAATGAAAATAGAACATATCGAAGCAGTCATTTTGTTTCATCAGAGTTTTTATTCCAATGCTGGGAATGCAAACTTTTTTTTGGACACACAGATGATCCAAATGTCTCTCTGTTTGAAACTAAACTCAAAATCGTCTCGTTTTCAGACCTTCTCGGTTCAGGTTAGAGCTCCACGAACGTCCAAATGCAACAAGATGGGTCCTCAGAGGAGCATGGGTATCAATTTATTTGTTGCTATTGCAACACGGTGAGAAGACAAGTGACACTGATGAAAGGGAAGGTGTGTGGGCATCTCTCTTCCTCTGGAGTATAGCATCCATTACGTCTAATTAAGCCACAGAAGACAAACTAAAACAGAAAGTTGACTCTTAGAAGACGATAACGAATGACGGAACTGGTAGGAAGAGAAACGGAGGAGGAAGGCAGCAAAAAACGTAAATAAGGAGAAATCTTTCTGTCCCAAACTGTTTAGGGCCTGAGGAGATATGCAGAAGCAAGAAGAAACATTCCTGGAGGGATGGAGAGTAACATCAACCTGAGATGATACAATAACCCTTAATGTAATATGAAGGGAGCTGATGATTGGTTGAAGTAAGTGTGTGCCGAGGTGCTACAAAGACCTAGGCTGATGTTGATGCTTTTTATGCTTTTTGAGCTATACACCTGCGTCGGCTTGTGCAACAGCATCCTGTTCTGTGGAACATCAGGGAAAATATTTGATGATCTAGGTCATGATAAAAAGACCCAGTTGGACTCTGAGCTTTGCTTTCTCTGAACCACACCCCAATGCAACAGCTCATGCTGCATCAGCTTTAACATGCAGCAAACTTTAGTTTGGTATAACTGCCTTCATACTTCCTGACAAAGAGTCAAAAAGACTTTTGTCCATATTGACATGCGCCATCACGCCGCACATCCATGATGCAAATCCCACGCTCCACCACATCCCAAATGTGTTCTGAGAGATTGAGATTGGGCAGCTGGAGCTCCAGATGATTTGGGATGTGTGACCTGGAGCATTACATCGCTGGAAGACTGTCAGAAGACGGACATGCTGTTGTCATAAGGGACAGATTGGGTCAGCAAACTGGCTCTACAGGGCACATTAAGGCGTGCCAAGAAAATACTGGTCACACCACATCACAGTTTCTGAAACAGAAACTTTTTGAAACCAGGTCTTAAGGTTTTGGGAATGTCATCACCCACAGTGGTTCATGTGCCATAAATTGTACATATGTGTACAATTTATGGCTGTGGTGAGAGGTTTAGGTTAAGGGTCAACGTTCTGACGACATACTAAAACCACAGCACCATATAGTGGCCTGGCATGACAACTACAACTCGTCTAAACAGTGACACAGTGACGCCTAAAGTGGAACTTTACCCAAATCAACATCTGAAAATGCCGACTGTTTCCAGACGACAGTGTTGTGTAAACAAACATCCTTAAATGATGGAAGGCTCCTCAAGTCGTTTCAAGAACTAAAAACGTGATCCGTAATATAGCTTTATATTTCCTAACACCTCTTAATTTTTAATTGTTTCATCTTTTTTCATTGTAATGTTTCTTTATAGGATGTAATTGTGTGTTTCTTCATTCGTTTTTTAGCCTATATAGCATTTGTTTTTGTTAGTTTGAACACTAAAAATGTGTAAGAATGCTGATTTACAAATAAACTTTCTAGAGCAACATTTTCCAGCCCCTGCTCACACTGAGAAATATAAACTGTAGCACAGAGGACTTCCCCAAAGTCAGCACACAGGCATCAACATTTAATCGGGAGTAAAGAGCTCCACAGTCTCAGCGTCTCATCAGGGTGGATGACTCTTTGCGATTTAGGCTGATCGTCTTGTCGTAGTGTTTCCACAAAAATCTTGCCAAGTTCTGCTGTAAGAAGATTTCTTGTCAGAAATCCTCTCTGATGCCAGTGGAAGTGCAGCAGCAAGCCGCCCTCCAGAGGGGAAAGACGTGAATGAATGAATGTTGAGATGGTAAATGGAGGGGGAAGTAGAGAAAATCAACAAGGCCACCGAGATCACGGTCATAACATTCACACTCGGTTCTTAATTTGGCGAGCGGAGCTTAATCCTGTCCGCTGTGGCAGGTCTGAGATCTGCCGGGCAGCCTGTGCGGTGATTGGCCTTAAATATTCCAGGATGATTGATGGCAGGACAGATGGGAGCGCGCTCAGTGTGGACGGTAATGAGGTCAGGAGGAGTCTCGTCTGAGATAATGGGGAAAGTTTTTAAATTAGATCTAACAAAATGTGTCATGGACCGCTGGACAAGGTTTCTTTGGACAAACCGTGGGGCCGAGGAACATCTGGGATGTGACATTTTCAGATGAGGCAGAGATGTATGCATGCCTCTTTAAAATGTGCATGTGTGCCGCTGTTTAAACACCTTTTTGATTCAAACCATATAGAACATCAATCAAACAAAGCAGACTAAGCAGCTGTGAATGCTCCCTTAGTAAGTTTCATAGAATCCAGGCAGAATCTGTGGATGTCTTATTTTTTGCTAAGTATTGTATCCATGGCTAAAATATTTAAAACTACTACTACAAAAAAAATCTAAATCAATTATTTCTGACTGTAAAATATGGACAACAGGTAGATGAGCTGACGAGTATGACGCAAAGTAGTTAGGGATTCTGGGAGCATCACCTAGATGACACCAGGTCAGGTCATCTTGGGTGACGACAAGGTCAAAGGTCATGCTTGTTTTGGTATGGGTGACTTTCTTCATGCGGTTCATCTCATAATTGCAGGATACACTGAATTTGGCAGATTTTAATTGGCTGTCGGTTCCTGTTGTCTTTCATGCTGCAGTGGAGGGTGGAGTAGCTCTGCTGCTTCCTGTGTCTTATCAGCAGGTTGGAGTGAACTACTCCATCAAAGGAGCAACTAAAATAAGAAAATAAAACATGGTTCGGGAGACGTGCTTTGCTTGTCAAGAGGTATGATTCTTTTTAGATACATATATATGTCGAAAGTAGATCACCTCATATAAATATGTATTTGAACAATAATATCAATACCACACCATGGAGCACAAGCAAAAAGAGTAAGGAGATGAGAAGCTGGAGATACGATGGGAACAGAAAGAGGACAGACGATAGAATCTGGATGATGAGTGGAGAGGGACTGGGTGGGGAACCAGTGCCATGCTCCTCTGCAGATAACCTACTGTAATACCTCCTGGGACGATTTATGTCTTTTAATCCAGATCAGGGCTTAGATTGGTGGAAATGGAAAAAAAAAAAAATCAAGACTTGTTACTGTGTTTTTCCAGTTTACAAGCTGATGTTGATGCTTTTTATGCTTTTTGAGCTATACACCTGCGTCGGCTTGTGCAACAGCA